AAAATTAGCCCATAAATTACTCACCCTCAAGTCATCCTAGGTGTATATGACTTTCTTCTTTCAGACGAATCCAGTCGGAGTTATATTAAAAATGGTCTTTGATCTTTCAAGCTGTTTCATGGCACTCAGCGGGTGTTGCATGCATCAGTCCAAAAGAAATTAAATAAAAATCGCCCATCCATTAAAAAAAAGTGTCTCACACGGCTCCGGGGGGGGGAACAAAGGCCTCCTGTAGCAAATCGATGCGTATAAGAAAAATATCCATATTGAAAACGTAATATTCACTTTAATGTAGCTTGCGCCAACAGTTGTACACGGAAGCAGTTCCGGGCGGATGACGTCTGAGGTCTATAAGACAAGTGCTGTAAGACTTGAAACTAGCAGCTATGAAAGAAATTGGTTGCCTGGGACAGTGGTCAGTTTTATTTTAGCCGTGTGTATAAATAAATATTTGATCACATAGAGCATTTCAGAGGTCCGCGTTATAAATTTACATAATTCACAGCATCACAATAATCTCATACACAGTCACTTCCCAGACATACACTTGGAAAGCTTGTCCTTTAGCGGGGTCTGTGCTGTTGGCAGAGTGATTTGATGTTACCATCAGCAGAGCTCAGAGTGTGTGTGTGGGTGATCTGTAATTGAAAGCCTGAGTGATTGTCGCAAGTGGCCATCAAGCCTGTGACTAATGCTTATTGAATATAACAATCACCTCCACTCCCACACACGCCGTCAGCCCACCTCTGAGGTTCAACACAGCACAGAGTTTATCTTAAGATATGATGATAATTAAAGGAATAATTCAACATAAAAATTTCCTCATTCTTATTTCATTACAAACCTGTATGGCTTTAATGCTCACAAGCGCTGGGCCAGATTGCGGTCAAATCTGCATTGTTGTGATATTTGCTCTCAAGGAAGCAATAACTGAAGCAAATTCAGCTGAATGCATGAGAACAGCGCCGCTATGAAATAATAAAACACTGGTAGCGCATCTAATCAGCATGAGCCATATGGTAAGGCTCTGCCAAAATCCTCTGAAGCAACCGCTCTGCAAGGGTTTCTCAGCTGGAATATCGACAGCTGATGTAGATTGCACTGCGAGATGAAGGTGGCACGCTGTTCTTTATTGATTGTAATGTGTGGTTTTGTAAAGCTGCATTTGATTAAAGATGAGATGAGTTTAAAGCCAGAGCCGCATGGCCTGAATCTGTAATGAGAGCGGTCCAAACCGGCAGAGTCCTCATGCTGTGTGTGTGAGATGGGAAATGTCATACTCAAGGCATCATCACTGATCCTGTGTTTTATTTATTTTTTGTCTTTCTCCAGTCGAAGCCCCTCATTCCCCTGCAGAAAGAGGAGGATCCAGAGACGCGCAAGACTGTACTCACCAACTACATGTTCCCTCAACAGACCAGAACTGAGGACTGTGAGTATCTAGTCATGCAGAACCTGCAGCTGTCGCACCCTCCTGTCACTAGAGCTTCCCTGTTTGAATGTATGCCTTTTATTGGAATTGTTAAGTCAAGATATACTTGCATTAAGTCAAGTAATCGATAGATGGATGGATGGATGGATGGATGGATAGATAGATAGATGGATAGAATTTAATATTATTACAATTTAAATTGTTAAAAACCTGTTTTCTATTTGAATATATTTTAAAATGTAATTTACTCATGCCATGCAAAGCTGAATTTTCAGCATCATTACTCCAGTCTTCATTGTCACATGATCCTTCAGAAATCATTCTAATGAAAAAAATTAATAAATCTTACTGACCCCAAATTGTAAAATGTATTTTATATATTCAATATAAAACAGATATTGCAGTCAGTAATTTAAAAAAAATATTTATTGTTGCTTTTTGAAACAATAAATATTTATTAGATTACATAATACAATTTGTTTTTATTATTATTGCTACTACTATTATTATTATTATTATTGACATTTAATTATAGCAAATAAGATGTTCTGGTTGAATTTTATTGAATAATTTTTTTACTTTTTTTTTATAAATTCAACAAATATTGAAAAATATCAATATTCCAAGTTCACTCTTAATGTCTTTCTCAAACTTGTCATTAAAAAAAATATATATAATATATATATATATATATATATAATTTATTTTACATAATTTATTTATTTATTTTTTAGAGCTTGAAGCTGTGAAATCAACTTAAAACCAATCAAAAAGGTTACGGTGCTTTTTTTGCAAGTGAATATAGAATTTTGCTGCTGTAAAAAAAATTTTTTTTAAAAATTGGATCCATTTTGCAGTTGTGGTAACACTAAAATAAGTTTTCATTTGTTAACTCCAGTTAACTACATTAGATAACATGAACTAACAATGAAAAATACTTCTAAATCATTGATTAATCTTATTAATCTAATGCTAATCAAAAGTTGTATTTGTCAATTTTATTTAATGGACCTGACCTAGCATTAACTAAAAATGAAGAGTTGTATTTTTATTAACTAACATTAACAAAGATTAATAAATGCTGTAATAAACACATGGCTCATTGTTAGTTAATGCATTAACTAATGTTAACTAATTGGACCTTATTGTGAAGTGTTACGGCAATGGTAAGCACTGACATTGAAACAAGAAACAAATTTTAAATGTTTCAGAGTAGAATTTCCAATTTTTCATTTCGATTTTTTTTTCCGATTGTGACTATTTAAATGCAACATCAGTAGTCAGCTAACCTAATAATCTCAAAATGGCTAAATACTGACCAGTTAATCGAGCCAGCCGATATATTGGTGTATCACTAAAATCAGTGCACCTCTGTGTAAAATATATAGTTTTATAGACATTCAAACTTATTTAAAAATCCTAGCAGTGTCAAATGTCTACCTTCAGCCAGAGCTTGCTCAGGTCACGGTTTTCTCTCTGCCAGTGTTGCTGGGAGTTTCGCTGTGCAAATCACAAATGGGCGGCTCGCTGGATTCCAGAGGGGGAAGAGATTAATAAGTCTTAACCTGTTTCTTAGCAACCCCACTCTAAACTCTTCAGAAGGCAAACGCACTGGAGCTGCGGCTCTCTGGAGTCCGCTTCAGTTTGTTAGCATGATTGAGCTTTAGAAATGGTCTGAAGTCTGCGCGCCTACATGACAAAACGCTCTCCTGAACCCAGACGTCTGGCTAAATGGGCACACAACACAAATAAGAATTGATGTGAAGTCTGTGCCGCCCACCGAGCTCAGGCTGCAGCAAAAACGTGCAGTTTAATTCAAGTTTTTGCTGTTTGTTAATCCACATAGTTGAGAGACACTGCATTAGTTTTAATGATTTGATCGAACTGAATCACTGAAATGAATCAAAACAAACTCCGCACAGGATTTGAGGTCTCTGAGGTCCTTGAGCCCATCATCCAGCGATGGCAGTGCTGTTGTTTTGATTGTTTGGTAATGGTTTTCTGTCTTCTCTCTCTCACAGATTTGCCCAACTCAGACAGCGAGAGCTTTAACCCTTCTCTGTGGGAGGAGCAGCGCAAGCAGCGGGCGCAAGTGGCATTCGAGTGTGACGAGGACAAGGATGAGAGAGAAACGCCCCCGCGGGTCAGTTCCCACCGTCTGCTTCTGTCCAGGGTGCACTCTCGATTTTCTATTTCCCTTTGTGCATGTCCTGCGCCGTCATATCACCCATCTCACCCCTTGTTGTTTTGTCCTGTCCTAACAAGGCATTGCACACTTTAATTTTTTCTGAAAAGTTAATGTAAGCCACAAAATCCCAGCCATTTGGAACATACTGAGTGTGATTTTTTTTTTTTTTCATTGCGGATGGAGCTAACTTGCACATGTTGCCAACAAAAAAAAGCTAATAATTATCAAAATGTCCTTGCAGTTAGTTGATTGGTACAGGTTTAGCATGTAAGAGATGCTGTTTTTTCCATTGCAAATAACATACAGCAAATTAGACACTATAAAACATTTCTGTCATTATTTACTCACCCTCATGTAATTTCAAATCCGTATGACTTTCATTCTTCTGTGGGACACAAAAGGAGATATTTTGTGACTATGCTGGCCGCTCTTTTACATGCGGTTATTATTAATGAGCTTTGAATGGATGCTAAAACGAAAACTATTAAAAATTGATTTTGTTTATTGAAATTAAGATGAAATAAAATAAAATATAAATATTACATGAAAAACTTGCAAAAGTTGCAACTAACTGAAATTAAGTTTAAGAAATGAAACTGAAAGCTAAGCTAATTATATAATAAATTATATATATATATATATATTCTAAAATATATTTTAAAAATAAATATACGTAAATATATAAAATTAAATATATTCAGAAATACTAATAAATAAGTCACTAATAAAAATGATGACAGCACATAATAAAATTACTAAAACGTATAGAAATAAAAGCTAATTCATATTATTAATAAATACTCTAACAGTTTATAAATAATACTAAAATGACACTGATTCAGGACATTTTTCTGAACTGGATCAGCTGATTTACAAATCTGGCAACACTATTCATTCATTAAGGGGAACTAAAGCGTATGTCAGGATTTTCTGTAAATAACAGCTTAAATTTCTGTGTGTTCGTCACATAACGCTTTGTATGCCTTTCAAAAGACTTGAGAAATGTAATGCACTTGTCACATGGACCACATTTATGATAGTCCTGTGGTGCTTTTTAAAAGCTTCACTCTACATTCACTATAACTGTATGACAAAAAGTGACCGGCACAGTTCAGAATTTCTCATCGTGCTCCACAGAACGAAGTCGTTCATACAGGTTTGATGCGACATGAGAGTTAGTAAATGATGACAGAATTGTCATTTTGGGGGAAAAATTATTTCTCGATTCCTTGGCGGCTTGAGGTAAAGCGGTTTCAGTGGAACAGCCTCACCTGGTTTGTCAGCATGTCATAGCCTGTGCTTCACTGCATTGCAGTGGAAATCTCATTAAAACTCTAACCCTGACGTGACTCCTGTCAGAAAGTGAAATGGAAGCCTTCACTGTCTCGGGCCCTCGAGCGTACAACGTCAACCTTATTTCTTCCTTCCACCCCTCATCTTGCTGATATTACGTACTCGGTATCTCGTTCCCTCCCTCTCACGTCCTGTCTTGCACTCCTGATGAGTCATTATGGTTGTCTGGCTTGTCTGCTGTGCCAGGAACACATGCAGGCTCCCAAGCTGTCTGACAGAGCATCACTATCGGCTCTCAGAGCGCCAGTGTGGCCCTTCAAGAGCAGCCCTCCTCGTTGTGGGTGTTGTAAAAAGCTTGCCAACACCTTTTGAAATGAAACTGTATCGGTGTTTGGCCAGGGGTACAGCGACCCTCTCTAAAAACTTACCTGTATTTTTTATTATTTATTTATCTGTCTGTCTGTCTATTCATTCATTCATATTCGTATTATTCATATTTATAATATTATTATCCATAGTCATATTTATGAATTCAGTGTTTTATTGTAGAATTTTGGAAGAGAATTTGGAATTTTAAATAAATTAGTTAAAATACCTAATGTTTAATGTAAAAATCCACCATGTTTATATATAATATGAAAATAAATTTAATAATAAATAAGATTTATCATTTATTACAGGTCCTATTAAGTTCTCCTGAATTAAATTCCTTTTGTAAATCAACTGTGTCTTTGTGATTACAGGAGGGCAATCTGAAGCGTTACCCCACACCGTATCCTGATGAACTGAAGAACATGGTGAAAACGGCTCAGTCCGTGGCTCACAGACTCAAAGAGGACGAGTCCGGGGACGAGGCAGGAAAAGAGACCAGGGGCAGCGAGAGGAACCACGTCGGAGTGCAGGATGTTGGCGTGAAGGTTGGATTTTTAAATAATTATTATATTGATCTGTTGATTGCGTAAAGAAGTGAATCCTGGCATGGATTTTGGAATAACCCTGAATTTCCTGTGTGTCAGGTGATTGAAAGACCCTGCACTAATGGCAAAGCTGTTGAAATGGTGCCTAAAGCAACGATGAACAGTCATCAAAATTACGAGCCAATAGATTCATTAGACAACCACAGCATTGAAAGGATCCCTCTCAAGACCTCCGACAACATGAGAACTATGATGAACCATGATGATACACATGAGGTACGGCATCAAAGTGTCAATTTTAAATGCTATGAATATGGTTTTTGAATCAAATGAATTAAAAATTATTTAGTCTAGTGTATCTAGTGTGGTTCAAACCTATAAGAGGGTGAATGTGGACCAGTCTGTCAGACACCAAAAATGACAAAAAAGCACATTAAAAGTAAAACTAGTGTGAAAAACTAACCAAAATTTAACATATTGCTTCAGAAGAATACAGAGTAAAGTCTTCACTTGTACTGTAGCCATTGGATTACAATCATTTGTCACAGTATACTAAGTACATTTTTTATTTTCGACTCTGGGCTTTAAAATTGGATTCAATAAATTACATTAGCCACTGTCACATATTCTCTTACTTTGAGTGGATGTGAAGTTCTTGTCAGGACGCATTTGCTCATATTGTATTGTGTGAGATTTAATGATGTCAAGACATGCTATATCATCATAGGGTACATCATTTAAACGAATATGAAAATGAGTTCAGTTTACCACTATAGAAGCAGGAGGAAAATTGGAGTATAAATTAAATTTAAGCTTTTGATGTGATATGGTTGTGTGGTCAGGACTCAGAGGAGCTGTCATCTGAGGAGGAGGAAATGAAGATAGCCGAGATGAGACCTCCACTCATCGAAATTTCCATTAACCAGCCCAAAGTAGTGGCCCTCAGCAAGGACAAAAAAGGTAAAGTGATACTTGCCTTACTCTCTCACTTTGCTTAATATCAATTAATAATTCTCTCATTAACGTGGATAATTGTTACTCCAATGTTTCTCAAAATAGAGTGTGTAATAGAACTGTAGAAATTAACACACGAATGCAAGTGATGTTTTTCCTGTCTGGTGTTGTAGATGATGGGAAGGATGCCGACTCTTTGCTTGATGAGACGGTGGCCAACAGTAACCAGAACAACAGCAACTGCTCTTCACCATCACGCATGTCTGATTCAGTGTCCTTGACCACAGACAGCAGTCAGGACAACTCCCTCTGCACCCCAGAGAGAGAGTCAAAGATGCCTCTGGTCCCCAAGAACGGGTACGAACACACAGAATACACAAAAATGTAGTAATGAACAGCAGTGTTTAACTAAATGTTTCTCTATGGAAAAGAACTAAAATGCAGTGCAGCGGCTTCGACAAAAGGACTCGCATCACCAAATAGTCGCAAAAGTCTAGTGTTATTTTTGTTAACGAAAACTATGATGAAAATATTAGTTGATGAGCTTTTTCCCCATGACTAAAACGAGATGATGATGAGACAAGGTCAATAAATGATAACTGTGACTATATTAACATGCAATATCATTGACGATAAAAGACGAGACTAAAATGTCCTTAAAAAAAATAAAAACTATACAAAAATCTCTTTATATTCATCGAAAAAAAAGGAGACAAAATATTATTGCGGACTGCTGTACACACCTCTATTATGCAAGCTTTCATGTGTGCGGTTGCCAGATATCAAGAGTTAAAATCCCCAAATTAGAGCTTCTCTGTTAAAAGGACACATTTTCTGCCCAGTGTTTTGCTGAATTTGTGCAATCTGGCAACCATGCGCACGCGCTCGCTCTTCATTATGGAAGTGCCAACGATGATCTGAAAATACCGACAAACAAGTAACCTGGAGTTTAGCACTCTCCAATGTGAGATGTTCGGCTTAAGTGAAAGTGTCATTCATCCAGTCTGTGCTCTGTCATGAGATCTGGACTGTTTTGTTTGCGATTGTGGTTGCTGAATAAATGCACTTACTCAACCACTGTTGTTTTAATAGAGAAACATTACTATTAGGTATATAATACTTTGTTTGTTTTTACCAGTTTTCATAATGTAGACAGAGAGAGTGCATATGTAAATCTTATTTTATTATTAATTTATGATATTATGATATTAATTTATATATTAAATAGCCTATAATATCTAAGTCTTTGATATTAATTTTTTTAATATTAAATAGCCTATAATAAATCATTACACTAGATGAGGTAAAATAAACCATTTGAATGAGTTCACATTCTGTTGGTTTGTGCTTATTGGTGAAAGTGCAATACCTGAAATGTAAAAATAAATTTCTCAAAATGACAACAATCATTGCGATAATAATTTTGAGCAAAACATTTTTTGGAGTTTAACCATTATACAGCATGACAAAAATGTGAAGTTTCATTCATCAAAGTTTTCATTGACTAAACCTAGACTAAAATTCTCAGACATTTACCCCCGCTTTCACAGACGAGGCTTAAGCCTAGTCCCAGACTAAAGTAGACGTTTGAACTGTTTTAACTGAAAGAAACTTGCACTGACTGATCTTAAAATATATCAGTGCCTCTGTTTTGTCTTAAAATGCACACCAGTTTTTTCTATGAACTATTGCCTAGTCCTGGCTTAGTCTAAGCCCTGTCTGTGAAACCAGGCCCTAGTCAACTAAAACTTGACTAAACAAAAAACAGGACCAGGTTGACTAAATATGATAATAGCTAAAATGTATATTTGACACAGGACTAAAAATAATTTAATAGACTAAGACTAAATTAAACATGGCTGACAAAATTAATGTCTGACAGATTTTGCTGGAGTCTTTCTCTAACTTGATTTGATTCCCTCAAACTCAGACAAGAGGATGAAAACCTCAACCAGCTGAAGCAGATGACCCCTCTACTCCAAAACTGTAATGGCTCTGAGACGTCCCTACAGACCATCCTGAAGAACCAGCAGAGCTATGAAAGCAAGTCAGACCAGATAGCCGACTATAGTCTCTCTATGGAGGAGAGGCTTGCCCTCATTGAAAAGGGCATAAACAACGGCGTGGCAGAACAGTACAGCAAGTGGGATCAGATCAACATGAACGTGGCCAAATTCCCACCTGACAACATGGTGTCGTATGAGGACCTGGAAAGGATCAAAAGTCCCTCAGCCAAGGAGTCCATGTCAAGCAACAACAATGCCATGGTGTCACTCGAGAGTCTTGAGAATGGCAATCGGATTCAGAAAACCCAGTCTGGAGAGAATTTTAATGGACGAACGGATCAAGTTCCCTTGCGGTATGAGTCAACGAGGACCGTCTCCACAGGTGTAACGGCTTTAAGCGACATGAGTCTTTCTCGTAGCACAGAGGAACTCTCGCCAGAGAAGAAATGTCCACCGGCCCCAGTTGTGAAATCTCAGAGCATTGCCAACATGGACGCTGGAGGAATGAAGCTATACTCCATCGAAGGAGAAAGCCCTCCGTATGAAGTGGCATGTGCAGCCAGAACGTCTATAAGCGGCGCTCAAGGCCAGAGCATCGTCCGCTCCAAATCCGCCTCTTTGCTAAACGACCAGCCATTGCAAATCTACCCTGGTTCCTCTGCGTCATCCTCTGACCTCTTGTCCAGCTCCAAACCTCCGATTAGCAGCGCCCGCTACCCCACTGGCCCCCCTCCGCAGTACAACATCCAGTACGCCAGTAGCACTGTGCCCAAAGACAACTTGTGGAGCCAACGTACCCCCGTACCTCTTGAGCAGCCCTACCTCCCACCGCAGCACTCCCTCGCCAACACCAACTACTCCAACCGCAACAACGCCCCCCCATATCCCCAGCCCCAACAACGTGGCCCGCCCAAGACCCCGGACATGTGGGCCAAGGAAAGGATGCTGCCATCTGTTGGCCAGCGTGGCACCTTGCAGATACAAGGTAGCGGGTCCTCTGGCAGCCCCATGTGCATGCCGGACCCACGTCGCATGCCAGGAATGGAAGGAGGAGAGTACATGACCTACCGGGACATTCATGCAGCAGGCCGTGGGGCTCTGCAGATGAGCCAGGCGCTCCACAGACCCTTGTCCGCCCGCACTTACAGCATGGACGGACCCAACGCTCCCCAGCCGCAGAGTGCCCGGCCCCCACCTCAGGAGCTTCCAGAGAGGACCATGTCCGTCAGCGACTTCAACTACCAGCACGCCAGCCCCAGCAAGAGACCCAGCATGAGGGTGAAATCAGAGCACTCGTTGCTGGATGGGCCAGTCAGCGGAGGCGGCAGGGTTCCAGCAGACTGGAGGGACCAGGTCATGAGACACATCGAAGCCAAGAAGATGGAGAAGGTATGGTCGTTCTTACAAATAGTGTATGCGAAGACAAGCATAGCTGGGGCCAGTTGTTCAAAAAGTTTAATCTGGATCAGAATTATTTGAATTTGAAATCTCATGTTTTGCTATCCAGGATCAGGTAACCCATGTTACTTTTGTGCCGGTTTTTCAAAGCAAAATTGGATTGAATCGCCCTGATCCAGACACACACTTTTTTCAGATTTCCAAATCTGGATTACTAGTGCTCTACGGAGCCCCTAAAGGGACATGGTGATGGAAAATGGTTGCATTGCATGGTTGCATTGCGTTTACACAAATAACTACTTCTTGTTGGTCCATCTCTGAGGTTTGTGCCAATGTAGTTAACAATCAGTGATTTAAAAAAAAACTTTTAATTAAATATTATATTTTTGTTTGATATTGACAGCTGTTTGGGAATATAATACATTTTACAAATGTTGTATTTTTTGGACCAGTTTTAAACTTTTATTACATCCACCCTTCTGCTGGGGTCAGATTAATCCAGTTTTTTGGATCAGAAGTATCCCAATCTTACTAAAACGTTTTGAACAACACAAACTGAGAATTTAATCCAGATCAAAACCAAGATTGGATTTTGTGATCTAATCCAAATTCAGAATCCTTTTTTTCTTTTTTCTTTTGAACAACCCATTTTCAAGATTTGATCCAATCCGATGGCCAAAATCCGATCAGATTACTTTTAAGCAACTGGCCCCTGGAGTTAGGGGTTTGTTCAAATCCATAACTCTTGAGTATTAAACTTCGTCCTGTACTATCTGCACTAGACATGAATGATACTTCCAAGTATGCAGCTTGTTGAGGAAAGGTGTGCTACTACTTTTGAAATCAATTGAACTCAACTCCGGTCCTGGAGGGCCACTATCCTGTAGAGTTTAGCTTCATCCCTAATCATATACACCTGAAAAATCCATCCCATGTCTTCAGGATTGCTTGAAAATGTACAGGCCAGGTATGTTTTATTTGGGATAGAACTAAACTGTGCCAGACCAAAGTTGCCCATTACTGGTTTAGTGCAGGGGTCTCCAAACTTGGTCCTGGAAGGCTGGTGTCCTGCAGAGTTTAGCTCCAACTTTCCTCAACACACCTGCCTGGACGTTTCTAGCATGCCTAGTAAGACCTTGATTAGCTGGTTCAGGTGTGTTTAATTAGGGTTGGAGCTAAACTCTGCAGGACACCGGCCCTCCAGGACCGAGTTTGGAGACCCGTGGTCTAGTGGGATTATATAACTTGGACCAGGGGTGTCCAAACCTGTTCCTGGAGGCCGCAGGACACCAGCCCTCCAGGACCGAGTTTGGAGACCCGTGGTCTAGTGGGATTATATAACTTGGACCAGGGGTGTCCAAACCTGTTCCTGGAGGCCACTGTCCTGCAGAGTTTAGCTCCAGCCTTAATTAAACACACCTGATCCAGCTAATCAAGGTCCTTTGAAGTGCTAAAAACAGGTGTTGGAGCTAAACTCTGCAGGACAGTGGCCCTCCAGGAGCAGGATTGGACTCCCTGGATTAGACTTACACTGACGAAGACACCCAAACCAAATCTAGGGTTCAGAATGTCATAGTGCAGCAGTAGAGTTTAGCTTCAGCCTTAATCAAACACATCTGAACCAACTAATCAAGGTGTTCAGGATTACTTAAAAAACAGGCAGTGTGTTGGAGCAGGGTCTTTGGCTACCCCATTGTGATTTGAGGATGGGCTTTTTTAATTTGGGCTAGCAAGCAGCAACATAGTAGGGTGCTAAAAAGCACTCAAGGTGTGGCCAAAATCACATACTGTCAGAGTAGGTACTATAGTTGATAAGGAATGAACTTCATGACTAAAAAAAAGATTTTCTGTACGTAATAGGTCATCTTGGTACTTTTTGCCTACTGTTTTATAAATACTGTGAATTTGGAACATATTGCTCTTTTGAGTAACTGTTTTCGCCTAATATATAGTAGAAAAGTAGGCATATTCAGACACAGGGTTAGACCACCTTAGCAAACACAGCGCAACAACCTGGCAACCACTCACAACCTCTTGGCATCATAGTGGCAAGTTTTGCATGGGCGCTCACAATCTAGTTTCTGGACCTCACCTCTGAAATAACACGCTCCAGCATTAACTGCATGTATATGGTATCATTTATTTTCTCTCCTCATAAAAATGCTCTTTACACAGTATTTTTCTGCACGTTTTTATGTGGACATTAACACATTAACCTCCTCTAGCCCTTGCATGTCTCAAAGTGTACTCATGGTTACTGCATGCTCACATATGTCATCATTAAATGCATGTGTGTTTGTGTGCATGTCGTCATTTGTTCAGAGCGCTCTCTCTCGGTCTTTGGCCACTCTCATTGGCAGTCAGAGCTCTCTGGCCTTTAGTGCTCTAGACGGATGGCAGATTGGAGCTCATGGGCCCAGCGTGAGTATCGCCCCACTGAGACCTCACCTCCCCAAACTCCCAGAGGCACAGTGGAGTCTCTCTCCGTTCCCAAAGGGTCATCCTCTCTGCTTGCTGTTTAATCTGTGTATTCCCAGCAAACTGAGATGCATTTGTTACTTAACATTATCTGTACAAGCTGAATATGTTGGGTGTTTCCCAACCCTGTTCATGGAGGCACCCAAACAGTACATGTTACTCAAACAAACAAACCTTGACCTGAAAACAAATGGGTCAGATAAGGGAGACATCTGATTTGTAATTCTTATGTTGTTCCAAACTCGTACTACTAACTTTCTGTCATGAAATACAAAATAAGATGTTTAGCAGAATGTCCAAGCTGCTCTTTTCCATACAGTTCTGCAAAAACTGGCTCTTGAATAGTCAACAAATGGTCTCCAAGCAGCAAGCATTGAACAGAATGGCCCTTATGGAGCTCAAGACCCCCACCCCAAATGCACCCTTCTCAGTTTATATCCAGTGTCGGCTGGTTTGCACAATTGCTCTGTTTCTTTGGGTTGTCTAAGTAATAGGAGATTAAGAACATTCCTAGCCACTAAACCATATACACTAAAGTCTTGGAAACAAACACTCTTTCATTCTGTTTGTGTGCTTGAAAGCACAGTCTGCACTTTTAGCTGAAAGGCTCATGAAATCTGTTATGGAAAATTGTATGCAAATATTTTATAAAATATGACTACATTTTTTGTAATATTGACTCTGATAGCTGATTCACCTAGCTGATTAGAGAACTAAAAGTAAACCTTCCTGTTGGTTGAAATGACAAAGAACTGGAACATTAATCTTCTCAAGCTTATGAAATATATTGGGAATTCCGCATTTATGGGAAATGGCTGCAGTTCCCGGGCCCAAACACAAGTGACGTCCAGCCTCTTTCCAGACAGATTCTTAATTAGAAAATGCATGTGCTCATTGTTTCACCTTCGGTTTCACTCCGGAGTGTTTTTAATCTAATCTAATTCTTATGTTGCTGTATGTTTTAATGCTGTAGTCGTCCACTGTAGTTAGAAGTACTCAAAACACAACCCATAATGGCTAAATAAGCGTCATCAAATACGGTACACCTTTTTTCTTAGCTTGTTGAGACATTGTGTGCTGTTTCCCTGCAGGACGATGTCTTCAGTCCTCAAGGACAACAGGGCTACCATATCGACACTCTGAGAAAAGTAAGTGCTTTTTGTATTTGAAAACGTAGAATTGTATCAGTGTTATTTGGTTTATCGAATGCGATGACATTCAGATGTTTTTAAGCGAGTTGCTACATGTACACACTATGAATGCACAATTATGAGATACTGACCCAGTGGGGAAGCCTGACTAGCATTGATGAATTAGCTCTAATTAATAAGCACTGCTTTAAAGAATCCTCAGACATGTTCTAATGAAAGCTGAGCTTTCTAGCACATTAAAAATGTGCTCACCACTGACTGCAATAAACACATGAAAGGGGGCCAAAATTACAATTTCTAAATCTTGTAATTGCAATTGTAATTTAACTGGCTATAAATATTTCTTACAAGCTTTATATTTTCTTTTTAAATAACTTTGTATTTATATTTTCTTGCATATTATCTGTCTGTCTTTGTCTCTCTGCACCTGTAATAAGAAAAAAAATCTTGATCATCTTGATTTTGTTCATGTTATAAATTTACTGACCTTGGTCAAATTTTATTTGTGCAGTTTTGTGCTATTTAGTTTTGTTGTGTGCTGTTTGTACTTGGTGTATGACTTTCAGAACTTGTAAAAATGCTCTCTTAGTCTCTCTGGAAAAAAACAAACATTTTAGTGAGGTGGATTAATTAGAAATAAAGCTCTAATTAGAATTAAAGGCTTCATAGGTCAACAAGGATTTCTTGTTCTTCTGATCAGATTCATGGTCAATTGTTTACTGGGAACTTTCTGCCCCCTGGTGTCTGGAAAATGCGTCACGTCGTAGCAGGACACATGTAGTGAAATGCTTACGAAGCACAAAGGACCATCCTTTTGCTTTTATTGAAAAAGCCCACTAATGTCTCTTTAAATTAAATTTCAGTGATAAAAAAAAAAGTCACAAAAGTTAAATCTGAATAAAGCTTTTTATGCATTTTTACTGATTTCTATTTGCTTCTCTCAAAGTACCCTCTGTTTAGTCCACAGGCCTGTGCCAAAACCTGGGAGTTGTTTTGTCTTTGAGGAGGACACTGGAGTTATGAAACATCATCAGATGTGTGGTGATTTAATGAGCAGAAATACTAAGTGCATGTCTTGATGGTATTGGTGTGCATTTATCCGTCAGGTGCCTTTGATGAACGGCCAGATGTGTCCTCCTGTGAGATCTCCCATGAGCTGCGGTCAGCCACCGATGGCACGCCACCCCTCACGAGAGCAGCTCATCGACTATCTGATGCTCAAAGTGTCCCAGCAGCCCCCGGGCCCTCCACGGGTCCCACACGAGACGCTGCAGCAGGAGGTGCACACATTTCTGACAGAAATCTCAGCATGCAGATACATTTCTGGACCATCATGTTAACATGAAATCTAAAAGAACCCTGTTTGCTTTAATACTCGTTCCTGGTTTCATTTCATATAAATTATGTTTTAGAGATCTGTCATTAAAAAGCCTCTGAAATTACATTATTTCTTTGACATCACCTAGATTTGGATAATGTTAACTAAGGTAGATATATATTTTGGCACCCCTGTAGCCACTACATGTTGACTGATGTGTAACTGAAGCATTGTGGGTAGTGTGACACGTGTGTCTGTCTTCAGCTCCACGTGAAGATTGAGAAGAATCCTGAGCTGGGTTTCAGTATATCAGGAGGAGTGGGTGGACGTGGGAATCCCTTCCGTCCAGATGACAACGTAAGTATTTTTGTTTTTTTATTTATTTTTTGTGTGTTAAATTGGTATTTCTGGAGCTTTAATTTCAGTCTGTCTGGATCATTAGGTTGATCTACTTTTTTTTTTACCATAAAAAACACCATGAACTTAAACTGAACAACAGACCCTTAGTAGTATCTGGAGACCAGAATATTAAAAGGACATGAATATAAATTAATGCTAATATAATTTTGACTTGGCCAAAAGAGCAACCGTTTAGGTGTGCAACAACCTAGGAAATGCTTATGCCAAATTAATAAATTCTATTTATTATATTGCCATTCAAATGTTTGTGCTGCAAGATTTTTTTGTTTTGTTTTGTTTGTAAGAAATTAATACTTTTATTCAGTAAGGATGCATTAAATTGATTTATGATGGCAGTAAATTTATAATGTTACAAAAAGATTTGTTTCAAATAAACACTGTTCTTTTCACTCTTCAAAGAATCCTAAAAATTCATGGTTTCCACAAAAATATTTGGCAGCACAACTGTTTTCAACATGGATAATAATCAGAAATGTTTTTTGAGCAATGTTTTCTGAAGGATCACGTGACACTAACGACTGGAGTAATAATGCAGAAAATTCAGCTTTACATCACAGGAATAAATTACATTATAACATATTCAAGTAGAGACTTTTTAAATTGTTATAATATTTCACAGTATTACTGTTTTTATGGTATTTTTGATCAAGTAAATGCAGCCTTGATGAACATGTGAGTTTTTTTCCCAAAAACATTCCAATTTTACCAACCCTAACATTTTTAGCAATAGTGTTTTTTGGTTTTTTTTGTAGTTTACGCCAAAACTGCTGCTAACACTTGTATATACTAGACCTTTATTCAACTGCAGTCTAACTAGTCTAATGAATAATCAGTTCTTAAATCATTAATGATCAACAGGGCATCTTTGTGACGAGGGTTCAGTCAGAGGGACCTGCTTCAAAACTCCTTCAGCCTGGGGACAAGATCGTCCAGGTAATTTCTACTCATCCATCTCTTCCACTCCTCTCTTACTATTCACGTTTTTGTCTTTTCCATACCTTAGTAATTCACTAACCTCAATCAACATCCTCTTCCAGGCAAACGGATACAGCTTCGTTAACATCGATCACGGATACGCAGTATCCCTCCTGAAGACGTTCCCCAACACCGTCGACCTGATCATCATTCGAGAGATGGCCGCGTAACAGAGCACCGTCTTATTTTTGTACCGAGAGGAGCCAGTGCTATATATAGCTAATCTGAACTGATGTTAACGGGACGATGGTTGACCGTCGGTGAAACCACTGAATCAAGTGGAAGACAGAAGCATGCGCCTTCACTGTGGGATAGTCTGTTGGCGCAGGCCATACGATATGACACAGTGGGCGAAAGAGCAATAGAAAGTCCTTTATTCCATCCGCAGGATGCAGTCCGTTGTGTTTTTTTCTTTTTATAAATAACGAAACCCATTTAGTATTTCTTGATTGAAAAAGCATTTTATATTACATTTTTTTAAAGACAAAAACGTAGAAAATGGCATTTCAGATTATTTGTAAAAAAAAAAAAAAAGTTCGTAAAGTGAAAAATCAGTGTGCGAATGAATGTCTCGTCACGTCACGTTAGCGATTGCACTGCTGTTTCCCAACACCCCTACGAAGATTATCGTACCATTGTATGAGGATACATCGACGACTTCAATAGCAAAGAGATTCGAAAAGCTTTGTAAAACATTAAGAGTAATGTTTGTATTTGATGAAGTAGTCGCGTCGAAAGGCCATGAAAGACTTTTGCCATGTCTGCATATGAGGAGAACGACCTACTGTCGATTGTAGTACTGTTTGTATTATTTGCATGAAATTCCTCCTTTTGATCGTTCTTCGCTGTATTCTTCGGTAGACTGGAGCGCTAAATGAATTGAAGTAATCGAATTAACATACTGATAATGTAACAAATCCACAATTTGATGTGAAAGAGCACTGTCAGCATTTTTACGAGAGCTCAAAAGAGTTCAATTAATTCTAAATTGTAATTACCATTGACGCGCTGCCCTCAGTGTGTTAAAATAAGTAATGAGTCACCATTGTTTATGAATTGGAAATTAATTTACTACATTTGATAATTTTTTTGAAAAAAGAGATTAATCGCACAGTTTTTTATTTAAAGTACAAATTTAATGTATAAAACAACGGCCTCCAATTTAGCTGGGAATGATTCATTCAACACAATGTTTTTGTGGACACTGTTACTTCCATTTTGTCACCAATCAGTCTAGCGTAGAATCCTTGACTGTCACTTTTTTATTTTGTCTGCAAAGACATTGTAAAAATGTAATGACGAACAGTGACTAAAAACAACTTTTTTTTTTAATTGTCCCACCTTTTATTTATTTAGTACACTTTTCTTTAGAGATTACTAATCAAAATGTAAATACTTTTTTAAAAGGTTTATGATTTGTTCATGGCATTAGTGATTACGTTTTTAAAACCAGCAATAATTTGCATCACAGAAGCAGCCCTTTTAATGTATAGCTACGTCAAAGGTTTCTCCGCGAGCAGCTACTATTAAGATGATTGGTATGCATTTATTCAACATTCCAGATTTTGTAAATAAATTTACTTTCCATGGTGTCCTGTGGAAAGAATAAATCAACTAATGCTCTTTTAATGTGTATGTTTGTTCTTTGTTGATAGTTTTTTTTTTTTTGGTCCGTAAAGTGAAAGTCAGTGGGGTTCAGTGATGTATTGGACCCCACTGGCATTCATTGAACAGACAAAAATAGTAAACAATTCTTTAAAATATATATTTTGTGTGTTCTACAGAATAAAGAAAGTCATAAAGGTTTGAAATGATGCTGGATAAATAACAAAATAAGATCATATTTGGTTAAACCATCTAATTTTTTCCCCCTCAGTTCTGCAGTTATAAACCTGGTCTTATTTTCTTGGCAGATACGAATGCATTATTAGGTTTGAGATGGGTGTTTTCCTCATAACACTATATTTGGCAGATTTTTGTTACTAACCCATACAATATTTCACAGTCATTAACCAAGACTGATAGGTGTTAACAAAGACGTGCCATTAGATGGGTCTGCAAAGTAAAATTAGATGAGTAAAGAAATGTAATCATTGCATTTATCAGGTGTAGCTTAGTACTCTGTTTACTGATAATGCAACTACACCGCTTAAGTTAGAGGAAATGCCTTCAGTGTTCACAGGTAAGAATACAACAAAGCCTTCAACACCTTCATTTGCTTCATTCCTTCACTGAAATCACTTCCAGACCAGAAAGCAGCGGCGCTGTGCTTTCACATGGAGGACTGTCTGGTATCAGGTTCCTGCTCTATATATATTTAACCAGAGGGCAAAATACAAGAGTGCTTTCAAAACAGATGCAGGGGTGTTGTGAAATGAAAAGACATCCAACTCATTTCATTGTTTTCCTGTGGACAACATATGAGTGATTTCAAATCAAATGGGTTCTCCGCTTAATCATGAATGTATACTTATATAATCTAAACATTAATTTGTGTTTTATGTTAATTTATTCCCATCTAGTTTCATGTTAATTCTTTAATAGGGAAGGAGTGACATAAAGACTTTTTTTTTTTTTTTTGAGACCAAGTACAAAGGCTTCCCCAGTCATGATTGCTTTGCCATTTCAATGTGTCTATAAAGCCCCAAAATGCTATCTAGCTGGGCAACGCTGCAATTTGAGGCAGCAAGTATTCAAAATGTGCCAGTGTTATCCTCTCTCATCTGCATGGTCTCGATCAAGATGTGTTGTGATTGAATCAACATGTCCTTCAAAGAGGGCTGTTCTCTGGGTCACTGTGTGGTGACATCTGATACAAACACTGCTGATGTAAAAATAACCTTCAGCAGACCAATGTGTCCACTTAAAAGTTGTTTTCTTGCATTTTGGATCTCAACAAGACTGGACCTTTTGATGCAGCCTTAACTTCTGAACACATTTTGCGGCTGATCCTACTAAAACACCTTATTTTGCAACCAGTGCCATACTGAAAAATCCCAGTAATAGCCTATGATAACCGTGGAGGCTGTAGTAACTGCTGTACAGGATGAATATGTATGGGTGTGGAGATGTGTCTTATCAGTACTATCACCTTTCTCAGAAATGATTTGGAAATCACTAGAACATTGTGCAATTTGGCTTGACGCAAGTTGTGACTAGACCTTTCTGCCTCCATTTATCACAAAACATCTTCACATTTAGGTCAAACTCGCATTTACAACTCCAACAAACTGCAGAGAACAATCAAATCTAGCATCTGACAAACAAGACAATGCAGCGCAGCTCTAGAACTATGCTTCAGAGCAGAAGGTTGTTTTGTACAGTAAGCTCGTTATGACTGGCGCGGTAAGCCCCGCCCCGCGGACGTGTCAATCACCGTGACGTCACGACCACTATTAAAGAAAACCAACAAACAACAGCCAGAAAAACACACACACACACACACCAGCGGACTAACAGCACGGACCGTCGCCAAGGGTGTAATACAAAGTCTCTATATTGTGGGAGCTTCTCTTTTTACTCGGATAAGGCAAGTAAGACACTTTTTTTCGCATTACATTTCGCTTTAAACCTCATGCTAAGGTTATAGGAAAAGATGACTCGTTTCGGTAAAATGACTAAGTAGTAAGCCTAATATACGTTTTTATTAAAGTTATTCGTTGATATAATGTCCTTTAATGTGTTAACTGTTAGTCTAAAATGATGAACTTGGTGAACTTGCGGAGTTTAACCAAATATGGTTATTAGCTGATGCTAGCATGTTAGCTAGTAAAATTAGCCTGTTGTTCCTTTCAAACTAAAAGCTGAAATGTGACACGAAAACGGCAGATTTAGGTTTAAACACGCATGTTTTATTATTAACGCGTTGTTTGTTTCGCATTTAAACCGATTTTGTCTTTCAGGACAGCTGAGATGAAAAATAAGTCCGTTTGTTGCAGTTTAGCTGCTTGTATTTGAGTGTTTATTCGGATAAAGTTAATAGTCTGTTTATATATAATCATTACTCGAGTAATTAACTCCCTGTGATGATGTTTTCGGTTTTATTTCGTCTCATTTCGTGTGTTGATTGAGATAAGGTACAGGAAACTCAAACCCCAACTAGTTGGTGTATCTTTATCACCAAGTGAACTGATGAACGTCTTTTAAAAACGTCTCCCCGTCTTATTTTCCTCAATATATTGACTGATTTGCCCTGAATTGACATTCTGGTTGTGTATAATTGTCTTCGTTATTAAGGATTGTACTTTGGCTTAAACGGGAAGAGTGTTTGAAACAAAGAAGAACACACAGCATATTCACCCTGACCCAGATATAAAGCAGATAAACAACTACATTAGCGTCCATCCTCACTCATTCACCCTCACAAGCCCCTCAGACTGAACACAACACGGGGTTTGAGGGCATCAACGCTTGTGGGGAGAGTTTTATGCGCGAGAACACACAAAGCATATTCACCCTGACCCAGATATAAAGCAGATAAACAACTACATTAGCGTCCATCCTCACTCATTCACTCTCACAAGCCCCTCAGACTGAACACAACACGGGGTTTGAGGGCATCAACGCTTGTGGGGAGAGTTTTATGCGCTTTATAGACGACTGTCTGTTTGTTAGCCGAGATGCTAGTGTTAGCATGACTCAGTGGATTTCATTATGAGGCCTCAAACACTGATATAGCTCTATAAAAACACACATACTGTGTGAATATCACGCATATACCATGTTTACATGCTACAGTGCGTTTTTAGACTTTATCTGAGCTGTATGTGTCTTTTAAATGCTTGGTGCATTGAGTAATGGGCTGCTTTCTGGAGTCCTTTTGATTTTCCATTTATGGTGTTTTTTTTAGCTTTATGGTTTGCTTTTGTTCAAATATTTGACTTGTTTATCACTCAAGTCTTTGTTTTGCACTATCTGCCGTGTATTTTCTGTCATCCAGACAGGGCTAAATGGACACGGATGGCCGAAACACATGGGGGGGGACAGCCCAGTTGGGGCTTTGCCATTTTTGGCTTTATCAAAATATATGAGGCCATGTGTAGGGAGGAGGGTGCTCCTACTAGAGGTGTGTGATGTAATGGCAGCAGGTCAGGACGGTCGGGGGTATTTATAGTCGGGACACACTGGTGGAGGGAGGCTGTTCTGAACAACATGTCACATTGCACCCTTGTGACGGATGAAAACTAATCCAGCCATCCATGTGAGCGAGAGCGAGGCAGACGCACACGTGATGCAGTCCATGTGGAGGCTTTTCAGGGGAAAACCTCTGACGCTGAAAGGTGGAGGCGAACTGCTGCAATCTTGTTTACTGCCCCTCACAGAAATGTCAGTCCTGACCGGTCTCCGGTTTATTGCTGGAAAGCGTCGGCTGTTGCTCCGAGCGTTTGGATGTGGATGCTGTTTCTGCTGTAATCCGTCTCCGGCTGAACATGATGTTCCAGCTGTTCCACCTACAGAGACATTTACACCTCGCACTGCTAGTCAGCATTGACCCGTCAACACGCAGTTTAGTCACACTTCATCTGCCTAGCAGGTGTGTGAGTAGATGATGCCAGTGAAATTAGTTTTGAGAGTTATAGTTGATACCGCAACAAAAAAGGAAAAAATAAAACATGTTATTGAGAACTTTAAGTGTTACACTGCATTTATGTAAACAGTCAATTATATAGTTATTCATAATGTGACCATGGAGCAAGAGTGGGTGATAAAACCAAAAGATTATTTAATAATTGAATGTTGTTTTATGATAAGTCTAATATTGCAGTGTTTCCCCTGCCATTATATTAGGGGGGCGGCCCCCCTTGAAGGTCAAGTTAATTTTATTTAATTATATTTTCTCTATAGCGCCAGATCACAACAGAAGTCATTTAAAGTTACCTTTACGATAGAACAAGGCTTTTTAGTTTGTTTAAAAAAAAAATAACAAGGTATAGACCTATGTTATTTATCTTATTTACACGACGCCATGTCATTTCGGTCTCTACGTTATGATTGCGCTCTCTGTATCGCGCACAGCGACGTTCTGCCCCACACACAAGTGAGCACACTCCCACTAGTATTTGTAAATATTAAGCCACAAAACGACTATTTGCGGTGATTTTAGCGTCAGACGTCTCACTAATGTGGACATAAATACATGAACAACATCTCCAGAATGCGCTCTCTGTATCGCGCACAGCGACGTTCTGCCCCACACACACACACAAGTGAGCACACTCCCACTAGTATTTGTAAATATTAAGCCACAAAACGACTATTTGCGGTGATTTTAGCGTCAGACGTCTCACTAATGAGGACATAAATACATGAACAACATCTCCAGAACTGCTCTGAGTGAGACTTCATGAGCATTTGACCGTTTCATTTGAGTAAAACTATCCTCATATCATATACACACAGAAATGTAAAGGTATTCACATTTAATTTGTTAAACTTTTAATAAATTGATTTTAAATAGTTTGTTTCATTATTTTAATTAATTAGACATGCTTTTTGATTAATAAAATTTAATTTAACCATTAAAAAGGAGTCCCACCCCAAAAAAGCCGTATTATTATTAGTTTGTAAAAATAAGAACACAACCTAATTACAAACAATAGGACAAGTACAATAAATCAAAGCTACAAATATGCATTAAGTGCTTTAAGTTTTTCATATACTGTAGTCCTATTTAATAGTAGCTTTTAAGTTAAAAAATATATAAACTAGCGCTGTAAAACGATTAATCGCATCCAAAATAAATGTTTACATAGGCCTATATGTATGTGCACTGAGTATATTTACTGTCACGATAACTTTTTGTTGTACGATATATTGCCCCAGAAATAATTGCGATAAGCGATATTATTGTCATTTTAAAGACCATTTTATGCCACTGAATATATAATCATAATGTAACCGCATAATAATGCAAGAAGGCCTACACACTTCCAAAGTATTAGATACCCTAAAAAACCTGAATAAATAGTAAATAAAAATGTTTTAACAAAAAGTGCAAAGTAACAAGTAGAAAAAAA